GTAGCACCCTGTAAAATTGTGTAACAAACTTTAACACCGTGTAACGCCAGTAACACCGTGTAGCAGCACCCTGTAAAACCGTGTAACACCCTTTAACACCGTGTAACACCATGTAACACTCTGTAACACCGTGTAACACCACGTAACGCTGTGTAACGCCATGTAACACCCTCTAACACAATGTAACACCGTATAACACCATGTAACACCCTGTAACACCTTGTAACACCCTGTAACACCCTTTAACACCATATAACACCGTTTAACACCATGTAACACCCTTTAACATCATGTAACACCGTGTAAGAGCCTGTAACATCGTGTAACACCCTTTAACACCATGTAACACCGTGTATCACCATGAAACACTGTGTAACACCCTTTAGCACCGTGTAACACCGTGTAACACCATGTAACACTGTATAACAACATGTACCACCGTGTAACACCCTGTAACACACTGTAACACCGTGTAACACCATGTAACACCGTCAAACACCATGTAACACCCTTTAACACCATGTAACACCCTGTAACACCGTGTAACACACTGTAACACCGTGTAACACCATGTAACACTATATAACAACATGTACCACCTTGCAACACCCTGTAACACACTGTAAAATCGTGTAACACTATGTAACACCGTCTAACACCATGTAACACGCTTTAAATCCACGTAACACCCTGTAACACCGTGTAACACACTGTAACACCGTGTAACACCATGTAACACTATATAACAACATGTACCACCTTGCAACACCCTGTAACACACTGTAAAATCGTGTAACACTATGTAACACCGTCTTACACCATGTAACACGCTTTAAATCCACGTAACACCCTGTAACACCGTGTAACAATCCGTAACACCTTGTAACACCCTGTAGCACCGTGTAACACCATGTAACACCGTCTAACACCATGTAACACTCTCTAACACCATGTAACACCCTGTAACATCGTGTAACACCCTGTAACACCATGTAAGACCGTGTAACACCATGTAACACCGTGTAACACCATGTAACACCGTGTATCACCATGCAACACCCTCTAACACCATGTAACACCGTGTATCACCACGAAACACCGTGTAACACCCTTTAGCACCGTGTAACAACGTGTAACACCATGTAACAATGTATAACAACATGTACCACCGTGTAATACCGTGTAACACCGTTTAACACCCTGTAACACCGTCTAACACTGTGTAACACCCTGTAACACCGTCTGCCTCCTTGGAACACCCTGAAACACCGTGTAAGCACCCTGTAGCACCCTGCAAAACCGTGTAACACCTTTTAGCAACTTGTAACACCGTGTAACACCATTTAACACAGTGTAACAACATGTACCACCGTACAGCACCATTTAACACCGTGTAACACCCTGTAACACCTTGTAACACCATGAAACACCGTGTAGCACCCTGTAAAACTGTGTAACAAACTCTAACACCGTGTAACACCATGTATCACCACCCTGTAAAACTGTGTAACACCCTTTAACACCATATAACACCATGTAACACCCTTTAACACTTTGTAACACCGTCTAACGTCATGTAACACCGTGTAAGACCCGTTAACACCCTCTAACACCCTCTAACACCGTCTAAAACCATGTAACACCGTGTGACACCGTGTAACACTCTGTAAAACCGTGTAACACCCTTTAGCACCGTATAACACTATTTAACACTGTGTAACAACATGTACCACCCTGTAGCACCATTTAACACCGTGGAACACCAGGTAACGCCGTGTAACACCGTGCAACATCATAAAACACCGTGTAGCACCCTGTAATACCATGTAACACCATGAAACACAGTGTAGGATCCTTTAAAACCTCGTAACACCCTTATACACCATGTAACACGGGGTAACACCCGTTAACACCATGTAACCCTGCGTAACTCCCTTTAACACTGTGTAATACTGCGTAACACCATGTAACACCGTGTAACACCCTTTAACAACATATAACACTGTTCAACAACATGTACCACCGTGCAGCACCCTTTAACAGCGTGTAACACCATGTAACACTGTGTGTAGCACCATGTAACACCCTTTAGTACCGTGTAACCCCATGAAACACCATGTAACCCCTTGTAACACCATGTGACCCCATGTAACACTGTGTAACAACAATTAACACCCTGTAGCACCGTGTAACCTCATGTAACACCATATAACACCATGCAACCCCATGTATCACCATGTAACACCGTGTAACACCTTGTAACACCATGTAACATCGTGCTCGTGTGTACGTGCGCCAACCTCGTCCCCAGGGCGTGTTACATGGTGTTACAGGTTGTTGTGTGGTTTTACACGATGTTAAAGGGTGCTGCACGTTGGGATATTGTGTAACACGCTGTTACAGGGTGTTATACTTGTTACATGGTGTTACACGGTGGTACATGGTGTTACCCGGTGTTACTGGGTGCTAGACACGGTGTTACACGGTGTTAGAGGTTGTTGTGTGGTTTTACACGATGTTAAAGGGTGCTACACGGTGGTGCGTGGTGTTACACGATGCCAGGGCCCTTTTCCGCCCCTCCCATGTTTTTAGGGAAAAGCCCTGGGGTCGAGGTTGTACGGGCGCGTGTGTACTTGCTCGTTTACGCGCGCGTTTTTGATATTATGACCTTTTACCAGGTGTAACATGTAACACTGTTACATGTGAAGCACGTCAAAAATTTGGTCCCTTTATCGTGCATGGTGTAAAGACTTGAATCTCCATTTTTTTTTTCTCGTTTTTCCGGCTTTATTCTCTCAAAACTTAATAAAACATAAACAGAACTTTAATGAAATATTTACTGTGACATAATTTCCTATTAAAAAGATAATTTCTTCGACCAAACTTTGACATAAACGCCTGAAAAGTCTCTAAAACCTGGTCAGTTCTGATTCCGAGCCGAACGAGCACGGCGCCCACGAAGAAAAAAAGTCCTTAAAGCAAAGTTTCGTTGCTTGAAGGTGCCAGTCTCCTGAGAGGGATAACTTAGTATTTTTTCAAACTCTTTCTTTCCATTTTTGTCCGTTTGCGGTGTATTTTGAATTCGTTGACACGAAATTATAATGCTGATTTTCACGTATGCAGCATGCAGGGATTTTTCTGAGCAGCCACACCTTACCACGTCATACCGTGTAACTTCCTTTTATTATTTTACAGTAGTATATATTTTGTATATTTGTGGTTGTTCCAAATAAACCTGATGAAGACTGGTATTGGCCAGTCGAAATTTTGTATACCTCAGCCTTTTTCTCGTTGTTTCATCAGTCTTTGCAGTAGTCTTTTTGACTTTAATTCTATTCTCAAACAACAAAGCGTCATCGGCTTTTGGTGAAGAAACAAGTCACTTGTTGAGAGTGAGGTTCGGAGGTAAGGGCTTAAGTGATGGACATAAAATTTGAGTCCTTGTTTTTGTTGTTGGTGTTTTTTTAGCGCGCATTTGAATCCTTGTGCAGCAGCACGCATTTATACGGGCGGAGACTGGTACTCGAGTGGGCTGAGGATGAGGACAGTGTAGATGCTCTTAGAAAGAGAACCGCTGAACACTTTCATGGCAGTATCCTTTTTTAACGAAAATATAAAAAATAATGTTATAATGATACTAATAATAATAATAATAATAATAATAATAATAATAATAATAATAATAATAATAATAATAATAACAGTAACAATTATACATAAAGAGATTGAGTTGAGCTACAGTATGTGCATTCTATCCCTTCGGTACCCAACGCAAACAGCCATAATAATAATAAGCGAATTAATTGTAAATAGGATTTTAATAGTTTTTTTTTAATAAAATTGTCTATTTTAAAAAAAAAATTATTATTATTATTATTATTATTATTATTATTATTATTATTATTATTATTATTAGTAAGAATTAGCGAGAAATACATGTTGTGAAAAAGTTAAAATAGCCTTCACTACCATTCAGCCCCGAAAACAGCAAAGAAGAGGAAAGACTTGCTGGATGATTTACTGGACTCCGAAATGCAGGAATGAAGATCACCGTTACAACAACGAATTGAAGGAAGGCAAGTTTAACTTCCTGAAATTACGAATATGAGGACATTTTCTGATGCGAAACACGTCACGTTAGGTTGAAAAGTGGATGTTCAACTACAAAGAATGTATACTTGTTTCGTCAATAAGAGCAATAGATAGTTACTCAAAATTGTCTGACAGTGCTTGGGCCATAGTGCGCTGAAGGCGAGGTGAATAAAATGCCATCTTTTTAAGCATCTTCACACTGTCGTAACGGACTGTTGTTTCTTGTTGCGACATTACACTTCACTGTTCATCCCTCATCCACACTGTTTTTTCTAGATTGTTTTAATCCTGTATTTCGTCGTCATTTTTTTCGCAAATGCGCCGTATCCGAACAACGAGAAAGCATTAGCACCTGGGATTAAATTCTACAGGTGGATAGAGAGAATCACAATTTTTAGTTTAAAAGGAGCGAAAATTAGGAAATGCTTTTGCCCCCTCATGTTATCCCCGTCTAGATTCTTAAAACAAATTCGTCTTAAAATGGTCGCAGAATACCGTTCTAGAAGAAGCATGATAATCTACTTTAGTAATTTTTTAAAACTGCATTTAAACTTGTCAACAAATTTGCCTCACATCTTCAAAGCTGCATGCGCAATCAATCCATTTTAATCCTGAACGACTTCAGTAGCCAAATACATTTTCGCACCAAGAGTTTTCAATATGTACTTTAAGAAATGGTTAAAAAGAAATAGAAAACAGTTTCCCGTTCCCGGAGTCCAACCCGGCCCGTCTTGGTGAAAACCAGGAATCCAAATCGCTAAATTATATGGAATTTTGTTGTAAGGGTTATTTGTCAAAATATGATGATACTGGAAAGTACATAATTTGTATCAATTTTTCTTCTTCTTCCAACTGAACTTTACCTGTGTTTCCCCATAGGAGAGTGCTTCCCTGCACACTCATTCCGCGCGTCACTCAGGGTCATCTTTTTTCACCCTTTACCGTAACTTATGAAAATGAACAGTCCAGAAATGCTTTAAAAAAAGTAAAACAAAAAGTGTTTCGCGCATCTTCAAAGCTGCAATTTATTCGACCCGGGACCAGTTTATAAGGCGGACACCTTTTCGTTTTCAGGTTTCAGTGTATAAAGAAATCGTTAAAAAATGAAAACGTTTTCCCATACCGGGAGTCGAACCCGGGCCGCCTGGGTGAAAACCAGGAATCCTAACCGCTAGACCATATGGGAATTTGTTGTATGTGTTGTTTGTAAGAATATGCTACTACATAATTTTTTATATCTATTTCATTTGGCATACTAGAAGCAGACGCAGGTATCCCAAGTGAAAACAAGAATGTCTGACCACTAGACCTTATGGAAGTTTTTATACTATCTTTATGTAGAATTGCTGAATTTAAACCGTTTTCGTCCTTTTTTGTTTTAGTGCTGCCACTTTTGTGAATTGGGGAATTTCTTTTCCGTTCTCATCCGCTCTGCTTAAAATTGACTCTACTATGAACGTAAGGAAAGTATTTGTTGACGATGTTTCTCGATCGCCATACTTGCAAGCAAACTCGTGAAATGCTGAGATTATATCAAAAATAAAATGCAAACATGCAAACTACCGATTGTCTTGAAAAATTATATTGAAATTAATGAAGGATTTTAGTAATTTATCTTTATCATTATCATTATCATTACCATTGTCATTATGATTATTGAAAATAACAGTACAAACAGGTGCTTGTGATGGTCAGTGTTAAAGAGTTTCTTTTCATTTCGTTTTTTATCACCGTTCTGTGAGGTGTATCGACTCTTTTGTTTCTCGTGAATACATGGTTCTTAGCACTTTTGTAGTAACAAAACTTTGGCGCAAATGGGAAAGCGTCTATTTAATGTAAAAAAATGTTAGTTTTGAAAGTTATTATCACCTTTGGAAGTCATTCCCAAACATAGGAATAAACAACTGAAAAGCCGGAATTATTGAAGCAAAATAAAAAAAGCGTTCATTCCCATACCGGGAGTCGTACCCGGGCCGCCTGGGTGAAAACCAGGAATCCTAACCGCTAGACCATATGGGATTTCGATAAGTGATTTTCCTCTGTTCATTAGTATCACATGTAGTTCTCCAATTTAATTGACGTAGCGGGACAACGACTGTAATACAGCGGTTTGAATTCCTGGTTGACACTATGACGCACACATAATTACCAAGGAAAGGAGTTTATCCAGGTGGGTCGAGAAATATTTACAGGATAATAATATTTACATGTATTGATGGCATAAAAATATTTTCCTGTTTAATCATGAAAGAGAAAATGGGGATAACACAGGTATCCTCTTCAAGCAAGAATTTGACGAGGATTTCGTGTTGCATATGCTATTTAGAATCCTAATTTAACGCTTCGAGAAAGGTCTTAGAGCAGCATTTACGTTTATGAGAATAGGCTGTTAATGTTGGTGTCAGTCTTAGGCGAGGTAAATTCCCGTTGTAAGGGTTTCAGTTTGAGCCTTACAGGCGTAATGTTGTTTATTAAGTTGTTTATAACAACAATAACAACAACAACAAAAACAACAAAACTTTATTAATAAAAAAATAAAATTACATAAGTATTGCCCGCAGCTAGCAAGGCTATTCGAGACGAGACAGTGCGTGCAAAATATAAAAATAAAGACTAAGGCTATTAACGAAGGAAAGTTTACAGTAAATGAAACAAAAATCGTAATATGGATGAGAACTAGATAACAGACTAAAGAAAAACAGAATTAAACAAATAAATTGTAAAAGTAGAAACTAATAAGCAAGAATTTATTTTTCGACATGTTTGGCTAATTGAACTTTTTAATTAGGGTGGGCGTATCAATATAGTCTTCTGAATTCAGAATATCAAAAAGCAATTTGCGGAGTGTTTTTTTGGACTTATTCTTGGGGAGATGTCGGATGTGACAGGGTATCTCATTCCACAGCTTAGCCCCAAAGCGAGAGAAAGAGAGTTTATATAATCCTAGATCGGAACTATTTAATTGGCATCGACTTTAAGTAGAATTATAGCTCACACAACAAGTGGCTTGTCCAAATATCTCAGCGCCCCGCGCCTGCGATCAAGCAAGCGCGATTTCAGCTGCTGTCTTGGTTCTTGTGAGGGGTCATTTAACGAAAAGTGGCTGGTAATAGAGAGGAGAAGTCGTTACGTCATGTTGTCATGGTAGCCAAGTTTCTGGATGACAAACCAAAAACGTCGCTAAAAAAGTGAATTCGCACCGTTTCAAACTTCATCGATCTTATTCAATTTCTTTTAGTTTGTAAAATGTTAGCGAAATTTTCCGAAAGGCCCGTGTGTAAATTGTCGTTGCTGTCGCCTTCGCCGTAGCATGCGCCGCAGACCGTCTATACCGAGACCTATGTAGATCTTGAGTGACAAGTCTGGCTGCAATGCAAGCTACTTCGCCGTCGTCGTTTGTTACCATGG